GATTTAGACTGTGTTCACATCTTTTGCATGGTAATGAACAAAATATTTCAGTTTGTTTAGGGATGTTTTAATAACCTGGATCACAGCTGTCAAAAATAGATTCTAGTTTTGTCTTCAACTTTAGTTGTGTTCATGAAGTCACAATGAGGGGGGATTCTGTTGCTTTTTCTCAATTTTCAAATACTGTTTTCACCCCACGTTTTATGCTTTCTATTCTCCACTAAATGGGGCAGTTTTACTCCTCTCCATCTGATAGTTCAATTGCTTGTTTTCTAGGATTTTTTTTTTCCAATTTTTACCCATTCTAATATGCTCCAATTCATATTTTTACACACCAGGTTGTTAAAGAAAAATTCCCATTTGCCTTTTTAGTTGCTGTTGTAAGCCTGGCTGTAATTTCCTTCTTTTTCTTTAAGCCCTTCAGCACTGTTCATTAGAAAGGAGTTAAAACTCAGCACAAATACCCTCTTCTGAGGAAAGAATGCAGTGCCTCGTTAGAGAGCAAAGCAGAAGAATGTTCTTTACCTCTTTCTTGGTCATTTTTGGGAAAACTTTAAAGGGTAATGAAGTGGCCTTGACTAGTTTTGGGAATGTTGCCATTGTAGAAGTGAGAGGGATGCTGGATGCCAAACTACCTTGTTCCTGTGGCATGTATCTCAAAGGCAAATAATTGGTTTCCATGGTCTGTGGCACTGGAAGATTCATGCAGAGGGTAATTACCTTGTGACAACTTTTTCCTATCCTTTAATATTCAGACTGATGGTAACAACCACTCCAACTGCATTTCCAACACTCTGATATTTAGCTAACTTAATTACTGTTCTGATGACTTCTGGAGGAAAACATTTAACAGAATTTGTTCCACAAAGAGATACAGTAAATTAACTGTATGGTGTTAGAATTTCACCTCTTACTCCCCAGATTTTTCTTAGTATGTTTTTTTTTTCTTTCCCTTCTCTTTCTTGGGCATCTCTTTGGTCACTATTTGCTGTCTTTTAGGATCCCTGTTCTCTTTTCCTCTGCCCTTCTCTCCTTTTGTGAGTGACTGTCACCTCTGTTTCTTTAACTTCCCTGAAATTATACCTCTAGGATTTGCACTGAGACAGTGTGAAAGTTAAAACCACTAGATTTAGTCAAGTGATGGATACAATAGGTTTGAAATTGCCATTGATAAAGTCAGGAAGAGGATAGCTGAGCTTGAGGCTGTAATCCCCAGGTCCTTGTGCAGGTCTGTGTCTCAGTTCTTACCAAGAAGGTGCCCCTGTTTTGAGTGGAGGAAGAGGAGTACAGCCAGCTGACTCTCTCTGGTAGACTTTTCACTCTTTTCTTCCCTCTGATGGGATCTGAGAGGTATTCCTCTTGTGATTTTTATTTTAATAACCTGCTGCCATCTGTCTCTGCCTCCTAGGTGATGTTTAGCATGATTTAGGTGGAGAGTTGTGTATCATGTTTAGCAAGTACTCCATTAGACTCATATTTAGGGGTGTACACTCTAGTATCAGTTTTTAACTAAGCAAAGGTCTTCACTCAGACACCAAGGTCGTCAAGAGTAATTATTAACCCTCACGAGTGATTCTGATGCCTTAAAGACTGCCTTGCTCCAAATTAACATAACTTAGTTAAAATACTACATCAGGGAGCCTGGCTTAATACTTCAGAGAGACCAAGGGGTTTGGATGTTATGTATGAAAATTATTGTTAGATGTGGCACACTGGAAGTTAGATTCACACTGACCAAAGATCATTGGCCACTCTTGATAGAAATGTTATTTGAAAGGGTAGAAAAAAGTTCTCCAAAAAATGGACATCTTATATATGTGACAGGAGAAAAACAGAATCCTTCTGCAAGGAAAGAAAGATTTTAGCATGATAAATTGCATGGATTTGATTATTTTGGAGAAAAATATTCAATGTAGAGTTGAGAGACCTTGGCATTTGTTCACCACATCTGGCATAAGAGGAAAAAATCCACAGGGTCTTGAGTGAAAAATAGTTATCACTAAAATAAAACTAATTATGCTAATACTCTGCCCTTCATCTCCTACCCTAAAACTCTATCTAGTTCATTAAAAAATACAATATAGAATGGGTTTCTGCCTTTCTCAAGTGGATGCTTCTAAGCCATTAAGTTGCACCCTGAGGCAGCTGAGCTGCTGTAAAGAGGGAGATTAAGTTTCCAGGGGCTGTTTTTTAACTTTTTCTTCAGAGTTCATAATAAGATATCATTTTTGTGAGTTTTTTTGCTGTTGGAACTACAGTGCAACAACAAAATGACCACCTAGAAGCATGCATTATATACCTTACAAAATTAAGAAGACTCCAGTGTTGCTAATGGTCATCTCCAACAGTGATTGCTTAGAGAAGCAGTTCAGTTTTAGGGGAAAAATAAAAAAAAGTACAAAGATATAACTCCTGTTTCTCTTGAAAAATGTATTTGAAGGGTTCTGCTGCCCCCCACTGCAAGTTCAGCCACTCATGCAGCTGCTGCAGGAGGAGGTTGTCAACTATTCACATGAAGTATGGACACTTACATAGAATTCACTATGGGCCTCCAGGCACAAATCAAATAAAAGATCATTTCTCTCTCATTTTTGTTAGAGATTCCTGAATCCAGCAGTCTGCCACAGCTCCAGGATCACTGGCCTCATCCTGCTCCCTTCTCTGGCTGAAGGACACACAGATGCATCTTTTCCTGCAGGGCTGGACAGGTTATTCTACCCCTTGCTTGTCAAATATTTATCAGTGCACCAAGTCATGGTCTTCTGCCCTGGTTTGAAGTGCTCCTTGTGTAATTTATTACAGCAAATAGTCCAAAGGAAGATTTGAAGTACTTACTGCTCAGCTTTTGATCCACTCTGTTGCTGAGAACCTGGTTCTTACAGGGCTCACAGATGATCACAAAGACTCATCTTTTTATCTGTGCCTTTTTCATTGCTCTATCTGACTTCCAAAGGCTTCACCAGCTTCCTCAAATGATTCTTGTTACACCACAGCTGAATCATTTTAATTGTAGATGGAAATCAACATGCCAGCTGCTGGTTTAGGGGATGAAATACTGGCAGGTCCCCCCTGGCCCAGCTCTTCTGTGCCTGGCTGCCAGAGCATCTCCTGCAGCAGCAAGGACTCTTCCCAGACCAATGGATTCCTGTGGAACCACCTCAAAATTATCATTCCCCTGCTGGGAACTACCTCCTGCTACTGGCTGGTTTCATTTTAGCAGCAAAGGGAATCAAAGTCTTCCTCTGGAACTTGTCCTCTGGTTGTGACATTGATGTTGCACCTCTGGCCTGTGGATTGTCACATGGGATCACGTGTGTGGTGCACAGATTATCATTGGCTTCAGAGTCAATATTCTCTTACAGCTGAAATGCTGTGTCCACCACCAGCAGGTCCTTTCAAGGCACAGGGTTAAGAGCTTTACATGTTTTATTTAACAAAATTTGGTTCCAAGGCCTGCACAGTAACAGGAATCCTGCTGTCTGGAGGGCAAACCCACTAGTCCAGGGCTGCAAGTCAGCACTGTCCCCATGAGAGCTCCACTTTGTCCTGGCCAACAGCAGCCTTGCCTGCAGAGCTTGGTAGTTCATAGAATCATTGAGGGTGGAAGAGACCTCTAAGATCATCAAGTCCAATCATCAACCCAATGCTACCATGACCACTAAACCATGGCCCAAAGTACCACATCCACATGTTTTTTGAAGCCCTCCAGGGATGGTGACCACTGTTCCAGTGCCTGACCAGTAGAAGTAGCTGCCTCTGCTTCCCAGGGGTTCAAGCAGAGTAAGGACCAAAGGCAAGAGAGGCCACAGACCTGGTTGGTCATTTTTAGTTTATGAATTGCACAAGATTCTAAGCACAGATTAGAAGAGTGGTACCAAAATCCTGCAATGGTTAGGAACTGTAAATCAATACACCCCCAAATGAAAGCTGCTTCTGTCTTCCCCTGTGGAAAAATCATCTTCTTCCAGTTACAGAAAGCAAAACACTTGTTTGAAAGATAATTGTGTTTTTATTTTTCTAAGCTTGCACTTGTGGAACATAATAAATGACCTGATAGAATGACAGCTCTGCAAAAGAAGAATCTCCCTCTCTTCAACATCTGGACAGCAATATATAAATATTTACAATGGAGAAACAGGGAAGGGAAGAGAATGAAGTCAACATTAGCCAAGTCACTTTGTTTCTACACATTTGATTTTGAACATCAATTATTTCATTCAATCTTAACCAGCACTTTCCTTTTACAGTACTGAGGCTTTAACTTCATTTTCTAGGTCTTCTGTGCAATAGAAACACTCCTGCTCTGCTTCTATAGTTTTCTCCTGTACAGCAGCCATAGAATTTCCCTATTAAATTTTTTATTTCAGTTCATTAACTTTGAAAACAACAACAACAACAAATTAAATATGAGTTTATGTCTCCTGATACAAAGTTTCTCACACAGTCAAACACATCACAACACTGAAAATCAGCATAATGAAATGCTGTGTAGCTTCTTAACACAGACAGGAGGTCTGTGTCCTAATCTGTTGGCTTTAACAAAAGCTCTCTTCAAATACAACAAGTACATATAGAAAAAATAACCTTCTTATTTTTCTTGTTAAAAAAAGGAAATGGTGCTTTCTATAAACAAAAGAATATGTGGTTTCCTGGACACAGACCCAAGGAACAGTGGGGAATGCTCAGAAAGCTTCAAATAAAATTGCCATTGTTCAAAAGGGTGTTTTAAGAAGTTGATTGGAAGAGGTTCAACCCGCCCAGTTATTTTTGTAACTCTAGAAATGTCAGTGTAAAAAAAAAAACCCTTTTTTTTGCTTTCTGTCACACAGTGTCACACAATCACACGACTGGAAATGTGCTGCCTGCAGATGGTGGACACCGATCACGCACGGTGGGGTTGGACTATGTCACCACTGATGGCCTG